ATCCTTAACTCCAGTTCCAGTGGAATCCGAAGCCCTCTTCTGACCTCCACGTTGCACAACACAGGTGCACTCACATACATACAGGCAATACACTCATACAATAAAATGAGAAATTTTTTTAAAAATTAAAAAAAAAAATTATGTGTGTGTGTGTGACAATTCCATACCTAATGCTAGTGACAACAGCTTGATCTTTATGGATCAGTCTTACTAGTTTCATTCAGCTTCATGATGCTCAGAAACTAAAATTGGTTTCTGTGTTTCAAATTAAGCTGTCAGATTTTTAGTGGTTTTAAACCAGTAAATTAGAAATCTGCTTAAGGCTATTTATTTTTATTTGCATCACTGTGAAGGTAACCCAGAGCTGGCGTTTCATTGATTTACCATAGTTTTTACAGAACAAGACATAAAATTAGTTGCTTTCATCAAAATTAAATTGTAAATTCAAATATCCTTTTAACCTACTGAACAGTTGCACGAAGTCACTTAACAGAACTTACCAGATTTAATGCCATGCCTTCATTCTTTAGTTGATGTAGAAATAGAAAAGATTATCAAGTTGACTTTCTGAGAGTATAGGATATGACTGAACACCCCTAATCACTGCCACCACCAAGAGGCTGACTTGTACCCACATCAACTCAAAGGCTGGATCACAAAGGTTTTTCAGGTAATCCTACATTCTTGGACCCAAAGGATCAATTTGGGGCTCAGAGCATCACTAAGTAGTACAGTGCTTGCAAGGCCCTACACTGAATCCCTAGCACTACAAAAAGGAGAAAAAGGTGTTATCTACTTGGGGAAAGGAGAAAATACAAAAAGGAGTTGAGAAATAGTAACTCAAGGCAGGTCTGGTGGCTTATGCTTATAAAACCAATTCTAGGAAGGCTGAAGCAGGAGGACAGCCTTGAGTCTGAGGCCACCCTGGGTTAGTGAGACCCTGTCTTTAAAAAAAAAAGGCAACTCACAAGTGACAAACTCTCTGTTTGGGGTGACTGGGCTAATAAAGGCAGACCTAAGGAAGAAAATACTAAGTGAACTAGGTGAATGTCAGGTCACTTCACACTAGATTATGCAGCGCCTCTACTCAATGACAATACCAATGACTTAAGATATGTAATTATGATTTAGTTATGAAATACCAATTATTTTCTGATGAGTCAGAAAGGAGACTTGTTACTCTTAAGAACTTTGGTATGATACAACTTCCTAGTGTTTTCTAAAAATGCAAACTTTCTCACATCAGGAATCTCTACCAGCACCTTTTTAAAAAAATATTTTATAGCTGGGTGTGGTGACACACACCTTTAATCCCAGCACTCTAGAGGCAGAGGCAGGGGACCTCTGTGAGACAGAGGCCAGCCTGGTCTACATAACAAGTTCCAGGCCAGCTATGGCTACAGAGACCCTGTGTCAAAATATATTTTTATTATTTTTGTTTTTCATGTGTGTATTGCCTGCTGTTGTACAATGCCCACAGAGATCAGAAGAGGGCTTCAGATGCCCTCGAACTGGAGCTACAGATGGTTGCTAGCCACCATATGGGTGCTGGGAACTGAACCCAGGTCTTCTGCAAGAACAGCCATTTTTGTTATCCCCTGGAGCCATGTTTTCAGCCCCTCTACCAGCAGCTTTTAATATTAGCTGTCTTTTGGGTTTAAAAGGCCTAGCTCTATTATAGACCTACTCCATTAGAATCTGATACTGCACAAGGCTGTTTATTTTTAAAGTTCCATCAGCGATTCTGATAAAGGAGAGGTGAGAACCATGATTTGATAACTGACCAAGTAATCTCCCTTATTAAAACAGAATGTCATCCTAATGTTTGTATATTTAGAAACATTTAAAAGAAAAAAAAAAAATCATAGTACCAAAAGTGCCTCTTTGCAAGTCCTAAAACAAATAACTTAAAACTTAACCACATTTTTGTGTTAAAATCCTCTGGTTTTTTTTGGATTCCATTAAGTCTACTTTAGAGGACAAACAGGACACAAAAATTTTATTGTAAACTACTCGTCAGAAATTATTAAAGGTAATATGCATGTTTTATTCTCATGTGTACGCATGTACTGTCTTTGGGAACTCCACTGTATAATCAAGTTTTTTTTTTTTAAAAAAAAAAAAAACCTTTGTACACATAACTGTTAAACAGCTTAAATTTTATTGACCTCCCAGTTTTTAAAAAAAAGTTAAATTTAAGGTCACACCTCTAAGTTTGATGTACTATATACAGATCGTGCAGAATGAGTATGAAGATACAAATTAGTCATGCCCAAAAAGATTGACTAGAATACCAAATCATCTTCATAAATACATATAAAATTCCTATGTAGAGAGGACTGCCAGGATTTCTGAGACACTTCAGTGATTCAAGGCACAAAATATACAGCATCGTGAATATACACATTCTAAACTTTGTGCCTCTGATATAGCCCAAAGATTTGGCTTTGTGACTATTACAAAACTAAATATACTGAATGAAATTCTGTTTCTTGGGTGTAAAATCACAGACCTATAAATATCAAGTAGATAATTATTCCAGAATATGGAGAAAACAAATACAAGCACTTTATTTTAAAAAGCAAACACAAAAGATCGGTGTAAATCCAAGTGTTTGCTTCCATTTTGGATAAAGAACCTATACAAGTTTGTTCCCAGAAGCTAATGCCTTACTAGTCTCTACAAAGAAAATTAATTCTAAAAATTAACATGGTTTTTGGTATTTAAAATTTCACTATATAAAAGCCTAGAGACCAATAATACTCAATAGCTTCAAAAGATAAACTAAAGACTTTGATGTAATCAACTTTACCAATGTTTGTCCAGGTCTGTTTAATACATACACAAGGAAAATATACTCACTATAATTTCTTATAAAATAGCAAGTAGGGGGTAGATGTAGGAGATGTTGAAGGGGAAAGAGAATTCAAAAAGTCCTTCTCTTCTGTAACTTTCACTTCAGAATCGTCAAAAAGCAACCACTTCCCCTCATACTCCTTTAAGCTTTGCACTACATATGAAATTTTGCTCTCCATTCCACTCATGTTAATGCCTGTTTGGTCACTGGGTTCCTTGTTGCTATCAGATTCGTGGATCCCATTGATATCATTAGTTTCAGAATTTCTATTTTCAGCAAATGTTGTACTGGCAACCTTATCAGGATTAGATGCTTTGTTGTATAACTCGTAATCTGCTTTGCTCTTTTGTCCTCCAAGAAGTCCAACAGCTTCTACGTTTTTTTTGTTCAGAACTTTACTTGGCTGGGCATTTGCACCAACTCTAATTGACACTTCTCCATCATAATTTTCAGCCATACCCCTTGCTTCCTCCTCGTTCAGTGGTTCTGGCTTACCTATTTCACACATCTGGTCAACCACAAAATTCCCCTTATCTAGTTCTAGACTGTTAAGGTCAGTGACTTTAACAGAAGCAGTGTAATGCCCACTACTAATTGTGATGCCACTGTGCATTACAACAGCAAATAATCCATAGCTGTCGTTAGTCGGCTTTGTGCTCCATTCTTCTAGTGACAGTTTAAGAGGTGTCAGTAAAGGAGTGTTGATCTTCGAAAGTCCACCACCATAACAATCAAACCTTTGGAATAAAAATAGAGTTTCCTATAATTCCATTTTACATGCAAAATTTTACATACAATGTGAAACCAAGTAATAAGCCCTTAATTTTTAGTGTTCATGAACAAGAGCAAAAAGGCTTCAATTTTGAAAATTTATAATGTATTCACAAAAATATTAAAATAACTGTTGAGTGCTTCTTTGGAAGACATTTTTTTTCTTATTTTCCTAGTTTTGTACACTAAGAAATAAGCTTTAAAGACTGAAAAATCCTCTATACTTCCAGCTTTATCAAGAACTTAAGACCAAAAACAGGTAAATTCGTATTATATAAAGAACTCTACAAAATAAAGAAAAGACAACATGTCACTCTACGGTATAAGGTATGACAACTACTGTGAAGTTCTCATGGTAATCTCAAATAAGTCATTAATGTAGAAGCAGTGAGATGTACAATAACATGTCAGAAAAGTCAAACTATCCAAAATGTAATTTCCATTTTTATACTTATTTTTAAGCTTTTGGACAAATTCTAAACTATAAAATTTCCCCAAAATTTCAGAGATTAGTTGAATTTTTTAACTTAACCTTAAAACCAAAAAGAATTTTGCTTTTCTACCCTTCAAAAAATATGAGTCAGGCGTGGTGGCTTCACACCTATAATCCTAACACTTGAGAGTATGACCTAGGAGGACTGCTTCATGTTAGAAGCCAGCCTTGGCTACAAGAGTGAAACTGTCCCAAAGGGGAGACAGAAGACAGGAGGAAGAAAGAAAAAATATGAACTTTTTCCTTCACTAAAACTCAGTTCCACTAAAACTACATCCTTCTAGCCCCTACAGAGTAACTATGAAAAGATACTTTCTAACTGTACTTATTTGTTACTGTTTTGGTGCTAGAGATCAAATCCAGGACCTCATGTATGATAGACAAGCACGTACCGCTGACCTCCATCACCAGCCCCAGAAAGCATACTTAATTCCTGTAAAATTAACTTTTTTCTAAGTCAATAACGTAAAACTACTCTTCTACAGCAGCTAACTCTTCATACAGCTTTTATATACAATACTCACTCCAAGCCACTAGCAGCAAAGCACTTCAAATGAATAGTTATAACTTCAGGCATTTTATCAAACAAAAGACTTCGCTCAGCTTCAGTATAATGATGGCAATTTTCACAGAAATATTTATCTTCTCCTACAATTCTCTCCACCGAAGCAAATTGTGAAATTGCCCATCTCAAGGTCTTCATTTCTGTTTTTGGCTCTGGAGAAACTACAAAAGAGACAATCTGTTCACTCAAACATCCTTTGTGACATTCAAAAATTAAATCTCAAGATTCCGTGTACAATATTATCATTCAATTTCACATAGCTTATTCCCAAATATCTAGAGATTTCTTTTACTTTAAGAAGTTCACCCTTAGAGATACGTATCTTGAAAATTTATAATTAAGGCCAGGCATGGTGACACACACATTTAATCCCAGCACTCAAGAGGCAGAGGTAGATGGATCTCTGAGTTCCAGGCCAGCCTGGTTCCAGACGTGAGACCCTGTCTCAAAAAAAAATAATTCCAGTTAGCAAAAAGAATTACTAAAAAAAAAGAAAAAAAAAAAAAAAAAAAAAAAAAAAAACCAAGATAAACCTAATCTCTGCCACAGTATAAGCCTAGTTTAAAAGTCTATATTTCCAGGGGCTGGAGAGATGGGGCTCAGTGGTTAAGAACACTGGTTGTTCTTACAGGAGACCCGGGTTTGAATCCCAGCACCCACATGGCAGCTAACAACTGTCCATAACTCCAGTCCCAGGGGATCAGACAGCCTCTTCTGACCTCCACAGGCATTGCATGACACAGGTGCACATACCTACGTGCAGGAAATACATACATACACATAAAAATAACAAGTATTTTTTTTAAAAAGCCTATTTCCAGTATCAGGTAAACCAGTCTTGTGATTATAAAGTCTACAATTTCCTAAATAATATTAATCCTAAATATTATCAAGTGGTACTAACAGAACAGGAAGGCTATATATTATACCAAGCGTACTACACTGTGTTGAGTTAAAGTACAGTTATTCCATGATCCACACAAGGCTCCAATTTTGCTTACTTTCAGAACTTTCTTCTACTTTAGAAAGCTCATCTTCTTGTACTGGCACACTGATATCCTGAAAATCTTCTCTTCTTTCTGTTAAGCTTTCACACTCCAAACAACGAGTCCTTAATACCAGCTGACCCTGAAATAATTTCTCCACTAGTTCAAAACCAATTTGCTCTGCACCTGAAAATAGGAAAACATAAATCTACACGGATTTGTTTTTCATTATAGCCAAATAAAGTATATCATGAATACAAGGCCCATTTCACATCTCAGCTTATTAAAGTATGCCTTATTCATGAAAACTAAAGACCCCACAAAAAGACGATAAATATGAACTGCTACTTTAGAAAAATACTTGTATCGTCCCAACTTGCTTCCCAAAGACATGTCTTTATAGAATTGCCCCAGAGTAACAAATAATTTTTGGTAAAACCATAAAACACATTAACTGTACATATTTTCCCTGAAATACATAGATGAATAAAATCAAGTAGAAACCTACTTCAAGTAAGGCAGTTTTATCTCAGTTCTCCTAAGCTTCACTGAATTCAGTTTTCCTTGAGTTTATAACACACTGCATAGATTTTTTTAAAAGTCCATTAAAGCCAGGTGTGGTGGCGCACGCCTCTAATCCCAACACTTGGGAGGCAGAGGCAGGCGGATCTCTGTGAGTTTGAGGCCAGCCTGGTCCACATAGTACCAGGACAGCTAAGGCTACAGGGAGACCCTGTCTCAAAAAAACCAAAAAAAAAAAAAAAGTCCATTACAAT